TACTGTATATTTTGGTTTCTGTCCTGCTTCTCCGGGTGGGTTCTCTCACTTGCAGGGTTCATGTGTATTTCCTTTTGTCACTGTTGGATATTTACACTTGGTCTACATTCCTCTTTCTCTTTTTAGTGGACTGTAGTTGTCTGTCTGTGTGGTCCACTGCCTCTGGCCAGTGGTTGTTTAATGGTTGAAGACACAGTAGCAAGTTTGGGTCAAGTGTTTAGGACACTTTGGATTCAAATGTTTTTCTTTACTGGAAATACAGTAGTCTGACTTTAAGTCAAAGTACAGCTGCAATGAATGATAATGATATGCTGTATTTCTATTATGCATTTGTCTAGTTGCTGCAGAAATGTATTGTGATGTTGAAGCCATTTTTTTGGCCCTTATTCCTGAGCAGCTATTCGGAGTCAGCGAGCAGCAGAACAATCTACAAACGTTGAAATTGAAGGCAGTTTTTCCCTCCACTCAGTTAATTTATGTAAACCAGAATAGGCTGCAAGTAAGTGTATTGTTTCTGATTAACAACCTGTCAAACCTCTGCCATTTGAGACTGCAACATTATTTTAATTTATGATTAATCTAATTGTTTTCAAATAATCCATAAATTGTTTATTCTTTAAAATGTCAAGGAACAAGAAATAGCACAACAGAGTTTCACAGAATCCAAGGAGAAGATGTAGATGTTTTGTCTGACAAACAGTTTACAGCTCAAAGGAAAGACTGGAAAAACAAATAGCAGCTTTTCTCATTTGAGAAGCTGAAAACAATGTTGGTTTTTGTAAATAATCCATTAGTTAACACATTGTCAAAGTTGGTGTTGATTTGTTTGTCTCTCTCTTCGATGAATCATCTAGTTGGTTCATAACTACTGTTCTTAAAGACTGTGTTTGCTCCTTGCATCAGCTTTGTGAGTTTAAATGCCTTCAGTGTGACGGTGTGTGTTCGTAATGATTCATCATGATGTGAAATGGCTGGTGATGGATGCAGTTCCTCTTCTCTGTGGTTACTTCCTCTCCGGTTTCTCCCTCTTTCCCCTTACCACTGCAGAGGAGCATCATTATTACCAGTGTATTCTTTGCCACTCGACAAATGCATCTAATTATTACACCCCCGTTTTGCAGCTCCTCCCCTGTGTAGGAACTTCTTTAACAGCTCCTTATATGTGCCCAATTAGAAAATAGCCAGTGTATTTCTCCTTAGCTGAGTTTGGTTTTGGTGTTTGTGCGTTGTTGTCTGGCCTCACTCTCTATGTTCTATAAACTTCAGGGTTGAGTCAGGATGCTGTTTTGACCTTAACCCAGAATTAGATTGGCAAAGTCAGCTTAGGTGTTTCCACATGTGCTGGCTTATCAAACACAGCGTCAGCTTTGGTATGCTCCCCTGTCTCTTTTTAATACAGTGTTTTGTTTTCTCTGCTGGGAGAGTGGAAGAGATGGTCTTTCTAAGGTTTCACACTTGCAACCTCTGCTTTTGGCTCCATCATACCCGCATGGGTTGTTGGATTTACCAGAGGTATCTGGTTTTTGAGGGATGTTTAAGTAGATATCTCCACATGTAAGACTGGTCCCCTCATTTTGCACTAACTGCTCAGAGACGCACCCCCACCGAAGGACCTTTGGACAACAGTTTAACACCACCGAACATGAAACATGTGCTTCATAGTTATCTCTGAAATTCCATAGAACGAAAATGTCCAACTTCTGGACTGAGCTCTCAGCCAGGAATGGCCTTTTAACACAGCCATGTTTTTCTTCATAATCGTGTATTTATGGTTTGCGATATTAGTTGCCAGTAAAAAATAGTTGGTCTTTATGTTCTTGGACAGCGTACCGTGGGAACTCAGTGTGTGTGTGTGTGTGTGTGTGTGTGTGTGTGTGTGTGTGTGTGTGGTATCTGAGAGGAGCAGGACGAAGATGTCTTGTTCCCAGTTTGCTGAAACAATAAGTCATGTAATCGTCTACAGTCAGACTCTATCATTGATCATCGGCTTTTCTCATTTTTGTGTAAGCTTCCTACTACATCTGCTGTATATGCTGTGCAGCGTTTGTGTGTTTGTGCATAGCTGGCATTTTTTTGAAGATATCAGTCTGCCAAAGAGCTCGAGCCTTTCTTTTTCTTTCTGGCACATGTGCTGAAGTTATCAAAGTGCAGACATTTTTTTTCTGGTCTCTTATTACCTCACCCTCTAGGAAATGAATGTTTGTGTTTGTCTGGTGGGAAGTTGTCAAGTTACATTTGTCAAAGGCTTTGAAATTCTATCCCTGGCTCTTTGATTGGCTGACCTGAGAAATGTATGCCCTTTTTGCTGCTGATGTGAGGACGTATTCTGTCAGTGTGTGACCCGTTTCCCAAATAGTCCTGCCCTACCCTACGCTTCCACTTTTTTGAACAGTGTAACTTAGTATGAGGGAGAGAAGCTAGGTCAAAGCGGCTCACTGTGGGAAGGATCCCAGTACTACATTTTAAGGTTTACCAGCCACGAGTCTAAAAAGATGATAGATGGGGGGAGGGATAGTGTTATTTTAAAATAAATCACAACACCTGCACAGTTAAAGTAAGCATGTGGTCAGACACATCAAAACAGTGCAGGAGGAGCCATTATCGACACAGTGAAGACAGTGTCTTTCTATGACAATATTTTTCATCCTGCACTTGGCATTATCTTGAAACCAAGTCATACATAGGGACTCCCTAAGCAGAGGAATGTCCACCCCTTATTTATGCAGAATCACCTTTGCATGAACAAATGGCAGATTGGCACATGAGACCACAGTGCATGTACACTATAGCTGCCAGATGTTTTTCCATCAGCTCTTTTTAGATTGCCCAGGTTGAAAAACTTGTCATTGTTTTGCGGAGTGACACGCCTCACCTCAGTGAATTCTAAAATAGCTTAGGTTTCCAAGTGCAGCCTTAAAATGGCAAGAATCTGAAACAAAAATGAGGTTCTCTGGTCAGTTATTACAATCAGGAGTGCAATCATTTGTTGAGTGAAAGGTTGCTGAAGATTACTTTGAATTTACCCTTGTGTAACGTTGGCCCACACTGCTACAGTGGGGCTATTTTCACAGCATACAGGAAGGAGATGAACTTGCAACACCTTCTCACTTCCTTCCTTTGCCAGCTGCAATGATGTCTGTCCACATGCTGTTCTCTGATAAGGAGACTATGTTTAATAGAGGACCAGCTGCTTTCTGAGTTCAGAAACAATATTTCACCAGTGGTTCTTTTCTTTAGTTGGAGTTCCTTTTGGTGGTTTGAAGTGGAGCTTTCGCTCTTTTCCCTGCTTCTCCATATATTATTATAACTATCTCAGGCCCATGTCTTCAGAATGGTCTTTATTGCAGTCAGAGAAGAAGTTGCCATCTTGGAGTCATAATGAGGTGAACCAGACCTAGAACGACTGTACTAATCCCTACTCCAGATCTGCCTCTTCTGTTCACTTCCATCATAACATTTACTGAATCGTGTCACTTCCCTACAGATGGAAGTCAAACTGATTAGATTTTGACCCAGTTGTGTCGAAGCAATCAGAATTTATAACCGTTTGAAATTTGGGCATTTGAGCTGTGGAGTTTAACTATTAGCTCAAATCCAATCGTAATGGCACGGCGCTCCTACACATTGGAGTTTGATGTGTTGCTAAAACAGACTATTTGTGCATGGGCTCAGATGCCTCATTGGGAAGATGGCGTCCATTGATGTTTTTATTTTTATTTTTTCCCATATTAAGATCCTCTTATGTTCTGGCAGCCCAGATCAGGTTAAGAAAGAGGACTGTAGCCAAAGCTTTGTCATCCCTCTCACTTCAAATATACACAGCAGGGCAGTGGAACAGAACTGATGTTTCCCTTTGTAGGGGAGATCTCTGTGGCAGTCATGATGTATAAGCAACTTTGCCTGTTATGAAATATTGAAACCTCATTTTTTGCAATCTACTTCCTTATGCCCTTGCATGTCCTTTAAGATTCTGCTTTGCATCATTCCCTATAGATACTAGAGGTGTCAGTTTTTAGGTTTGTATGTCAGTAATGTCACAACTTAAAATTAGACTCGAAGTCCGAAGATGCATGTGAAACTGTTGTACTGGACTACAAGCCAACCCCGAACTCTGGGATGAGTGATACTTAATGGCTAAGTCTGCCATGCAGTGGAACACTGCAGGATAAAGAGACAGAGATGAGTCCAGCTCCAGGTCCCTTTGGCATGAAAGGAATCCTCTGTTGGCACTGGTCGCTGGCTCCTTCCACCCAGTGAGAGACCATCATTTTACTGGTCTGCCCTCAGCAGACATTGCAGCCTTTCATCGTAGAGGAAGTTTGGCTGCTCCTGCAGCCTGGGCTCCTCTCGGTTCTGTGGTGTGATTAAAACAGAGCTCGGTTTACAAATGTACTGGTCTCTAGAAGATTTGAGTGTCATTTGAACATTATCTCTCTGAGTACAAGAGTAACATTATTTCTGAGTTCAGTTTTCAAAAATTATTTTCGTCATTTGGAACCAGCAGAGTACAACGTCTGCTAATAAACTGCTAATAATGCAGTAACCCTCAGTGCAATACCTGTAAATATGAAATACTCTATTTTTATTCCTATTTATCTCATTTCACAATGAGCATTCCCTTGTCTGTCTGCATTGTTTACTGTTCATACTGCTTGTTTTGTTATATTACACAGTCTTATGCTGGTTTACTGTTTACTTGTCCCTTACATGGCACATGTACATACACATTGAGAGCGGATGTACCAGAGTCAAATTCCTCGTGTGTCCAACACACCTGGCCGATAAAGCTGATTCTGATACAGCTTTAAACTAATTGGTATTTATAAAACATTGGTGGTAGGAAAACACTCTTGGTCTCCAGAAGCATAACACCAGATTGAAATATTAAGATATAGCATTTAGCTAAATGATAATGGAATTCTTTTATTTATTAATTTATGATTTATTAACAGACAGTGGACATCCACAAAGAGAAAGTGGCCAGGCGGGAGATCGGGATCCTGACCACCAACAAGAACACGTCGAGGACACATAAGATCATAGCACCAGCCAATATGGAGAGGCCGGTCAGGTACATCAGGAAGCCTATTGACTACAATGTACTGGACGATGTTGGCCATGGTGTTAAGGTAGGCAAACGTTCTTTTTCTTCCTGATTTTTGCATATTTTGTTCACTTCAGATATATTGTCAGACTCATATTTCTCTGCACTCAGTCCAGTTGTTCATCTCTGCTTGTGTTCTTGTTCTACTGCATCTCATTCTTTGTGCTTTTTATGCCAAAGGTATTCCTGTCTCATTCCTCCTCTCTCCCACTTTGATTCATATTCTTGTTTCACTCTCTAGCTCTTGTGCTTCCTCTTTGATCTCCAGAAAGCAACTCCTCTGACCCTACAGGAATATGTTTCAGTGTGAGTTGGTGGGAATGGGTTGAGAGTGGAAATGACCTTTAAAAAAAAAAATGATTACATCATATAGCTTTCAGAAAACGGCTTTATTCTTAGTGTTGTGAAAAAAGTGAGTGGAGGCAAATTTGTGAGGCGCTGCAGCCCAGCGGACCTTCGTAACTTCATTCTCAAGTTTCTCTAAACCGATTTTGAGGAATAATGTTGTTAAAATTAGATTTGTAGTTTATTTTCACATTTGTACAACATGAAAGGCGGGAAATAAGCTTATTTTAAACTCTCCCAAGTTGAACTCTGATGAACCAAGTGTAACATTTTCACTTCCATTAGTGTTCGCTTTAGGGGTCACTGGATTGTCCTGACAGTGTTGGTAACAACATAATTTCCTGATGGCTACAGGCTCTTTTGCAGTCTCCAGCCTCCCCCTTGAACATCCTCTGCTCCATCTATCAGCCAATCAATTGCTGCTGTCAGACAGATTGGATTAGAGGCCTGCCATTAGCATCCTGTAGTGTTACAGGCATTGATAAGGCAGGATAAAAGCCACCGTGTCACTTATTGTGTTGGGAATTGCATTGGATTCTTGTGTCATGGTGGAAGGGATAATATGGGGAGAAGTGTTTGATTTGAGTAGGTTTCTTACCACAGGGGGCAGATTTTCACCAGACTCTTCTAAATCACTTCTAAAGAAAAATAATATGTTGTATCTGTTTTATGTGCTTAAACTGTCTCTTGGTGACCAGCAATCGTGTGCAGTGACTTTGTGGTTGCCACAGAAATAGTTAAACAATGCAGCTACCCATAAAGGCAAATGTTGTTTTACATTTCTGGCTATGTACCGGTTAACAAACTACAGGCTGTATAAACTTGTAAGCTTTAGAGGCAGCTTTAGGAACTATGGAGAGAACTAGACCTTTTCTTTTTACATTTAGTGATTACAGCTAGATTTAGCAGAATCACGGGGGAAGAAGTGAACAGAATCACATCTGCTTCTGCTGATGTTTGACCGAGGGCGGAAAAAATGACACCTGTTAAAGGAGCATAAACTTGCAGAAAAACGATCATTTCAGGTTTTCCTGCAGTCTGTCCTCCACCGCCCGGTATGGTGAACATCTACCTTAGGTCAGTGGACTAATTAGTTTCATCTCCCCTGGGCGTCGGCCCTGCTGTGGAAATGCAAATAATGCGCCTGAGGGTCTTTTACCCCAGTTCATGGGCTTTAGTTCCTGGGAATAAAGAGTAACAGGGACTTTCTGGAGGAAACATGTCTAATGATGTCCATGTGAATCATCCACAGTTTTGGCTCTCTGTGTCAGACTAAATTGGAGATTCTTTAAATGAGGAACCCAGTGTGGGTGCACAATAGTATCAAGTTACTGAAACCATGATGCTTCAAGGCTCCTTTGAGACTGATGCATCTATTTTAAGAACATTATGTGTCACACTGGGCCTAATCCTCTGGATTTTCTTCTTTTTAAATGTTGTTTATGCTGCACGCAGTAGGTGAATATGATGGGGCGTCCACAGCAGTCAGTCACCTCCTCTCATCTGTGCTTGTCACAGCTCAAAGAGTCGGTCAATACTCGGCATCGGTGTTCTATGTTAATTCATATAGTATCCTCTGATGACTGGCTTGTACAGAATATCCATGGCCATGATTTACTTATTGACCAGAATCAATACTTTAATGGGAGTCCTAAGTATGTATGTATGTTCAAGGCAGACAGACGGTGATGTGATGCTTTTTAATATTGATATGAAAGATAAAATGTATTCTTCCAGTCAGCTGATGCTTAATGTAGTTGGTGGGGCTTTTCAGTTCAGAGGTGATGATGTCAGGTGTTATTTTTGAAATTAAACTGCATTTCCTTGACACAGTGTACTGTGTCAGTTGTGTATTTCTGAGATTAGCTGAAAGGGATAGTTCAGGTCTAAGGGGAATTTTGATATTTGTCTTGTTTGAGTCAAATAAGTTGACTTTTTTTTTCCCTCACTCTTTATACAGTCTTGTCAGGCAAGTCACCATTCTCTTAAATTTACAAACCTTAAGATTTCAATCACTGTTGATTGGACAACGGTGACCACTGTGGTTACAGTTGTTTTTTTTTTTTTGTTTTTTTAAATGGGCACAGATCACCTCTGCTGGCCCATGTCATGGATTTTGGTTTCATCCTCGCTTTCTCTCTCATGGTCCTGTGATGCTACAATGCTTTGTGCAAAGGTCACTGGGGATGCTGCATTGTAGATGAGTCACCTGACTCTGAAGTTGTCAAACTGCAGATCAGCCCCACTGCTACACTGCCTTTGTATTCTCGTTGACATCAACCCATACAAGTACCGAGGTTAACCAAGGTTGTTTTTTTTTGTATTTATACCAGGAATCTGATCATCTGTATATATTTTGAATACAAAGCATAAGAGAGCCCAATTATGAGATAGCTTTTTTGTGTACAGTCTGTCACAATTTTAATATAAAGCTAGTTTCACGTACACACAAGAGTTCTGCCATCAGATCCCTGAGGTTTCCCTCCACCTTGGCTATGGCATTAGGTGTGGTAGGTTTAAAGCAGCAGTCAGGAGCTGCAGTGTTTTCCTCTTGTCATTACTGACCTGTCTTGTGAAAAAATATTCCTCATGTAAATACAACAAGGAATCTTTTTTTTTCCTGCTCACATATACTTTTTACTGATTTGTTTAGACGTTGACATTTTTTACATGACCTCTTTCTGTCTTTCTCTTCTGTTTGTTTTTTTCTTCACCCACACTAAGTGGCTAAAAGCCAAGGTAAGTCTGGTTTGTCACATGACCCATTTTGCTTCAGTGTATTGCTGATAGATTCGTCCAGCTCCACTTCACAGCAGTTCTATATACATGTACTTGCCATTGTCACTTCTCATGTTATTCCCCATTAACCTACTTGTAGTCCTTTTAGAGAAGAAGCATTTGTAATACCCTCCTTGTCAGTTTACCAACTGTCAATATGTACATGTTGTGTAGTTGCCCATAATGTTTTGTAGTTTATTTAAAATGCTTATAGGCTTCCCAGACAGATCATATATATTGCTAGTATTGTACAAATATCATGGAATCTTGATTTGCAGTAAAGCAAATCAAGATTCCAGTCAGTTTTGTAGTTGGTTGTTGGTTAAGGCACAGGTGTTTTGCAAGAGGCCTTGTTGAAGCAACCAGGAGATTTCTGACCTGCAATTACCCTGTGACTAAGTTAAGCACAAACTGGGCTGACATTACAAAACCCTCAAATATTACTATTGAAATATACATCTAGGCTGTTGAAGAGTTGTCATCTGGGTGGCCTATAACATTTGACTTTCATCACACAAGTAATGTGTCTGTTAAATATCTTCTGATTTGGTTTTTCTTCTAATCTCAGCAACATGGAAACAATCAATCAATCAGAGGAGGAACACTGTCGAGGACCAACCCGCCGACACAGAAGCCACCGAGCCCCCCCATGTCAGGGCGTGGCACCCTTGGGTAAGATTTACGTTTTAGTCACCAAGACTAATCCTCTAATTAACAAGTGGGGAAAGGGGCTGTGGGGTCAATTAGAGGATGTGCAGTTAAAGTACGTCGTTTTTTTTTTTTTTTTTTTAGATTAGGCTTTTGGCATTTGTGCCTGACATAAAATAACATACTGAATAAACACTTGCCCACTGAGCCACGAAGAGGCCCCAGGACATGTTTTTAGTCATGACGTGTGGTGATAGTGACAGTGACTCATACATGTTAAAAATCACAAAAATGATGTGAGAGCAAAGTGAAGGAAAAATAAAAACTTGGAAACATAGCTAGCCTTTGATCTGTTGGTGTGAAACAGGCATCATGTCCTGTTGATGCCACTCGTCACGTCATGCACAGCAGCAGTGGGTGACACTAATTACATATTAATTCCAAGGACAAACTCTGATGTACTCGGTTGAGCCTCTAGCACACAGCATCCTAATTTACACTGCCCTAGTATACACTACATTTTTGTCCCTGATTTATTGTTGTTTGGTTTTCATTTTCTATCTTTGTGCTGGTGCAGACGCAACGCGTCCTACAAAACCCTAGAGCCGGTGAAGCCGCCAACAGTGCCCAACGACTACATGACCAGCCCTGCCCGACTAGGCAGCCAGCATGGCCAGCAGTACAGCCCTGGACGCACAGCATCACTCAGCCAGAGGCAACGCACACACAGGTAGATAGGAACAGAGGAGAGAAATGCATTAACATATAAAATGTGTTCCACTTTTGGATAGATATCAGTTAGTGTTCCATCTACATCTCTAAATGTATACTCAGTATTTCAGTAATGTAAGAACACAGTCTCTGGCACCCTCCATGTTTTATAACTCGCATCTCTTCATTTAGTTCAGCACTTTCACACCTCTTCTGCGTTAATCCAGTGTTAGTCTGACAAGGCTTGGAGGGCTTCTCACCATGGCCCAAATTACTCTGATATTAATATCTGTAAAAGCCTATGAGGAGGGAAAAAAACAGTCAACTGCAGTATTCAGACACATGAGGATTGTTCCCCAGAAAATTCCATACAGAGAAAACTGGAGACGCTCTCCTCAAATTTGAGTTATGAGTGAGTGAAGCCACTTCATTAACTAAAAAGCCTGTTATGCTGACTGTGACGCTTATAAATATTTATTATTTTTCCTACACTCGCCCAATTTCTCCTTCTTGCTTATGCATGTGTGCAAAGCTGCCCATTAACACAAGTTCCTCAGTGCTTCTTCAGCTTTAATCAATTAAAATGAACTCCAGCTCTTATAATTAGTGCCATCAAATGATTACAGTGTGTGGAGCAACAACAAACCAATCAGAAGGAGGTTTTTTTTTAGTTTATTTTTAGTGATTTGTGGTGTAAAGTCCCTTTAACACACTGATGCTGTCCTCAGAGGCAAGCACTGTGCTTCAGCTAATATTGCTGTGGCATCAGTATTTGATTACACAGGCTCGAAGTCAGCTGTGCTTATTCAGCTCTTCAGTCTCTGCCAACCTCGACTGAGGTCTAAATTCAATATAGGCATCGGTGTGTTCCTACTGTATGATGCCTGTTATTACCCAGTATCTTTGTGTGGGAAAGATTACAGTGTCATATGGGTATCCTTTATTTTAGCAACCATCACCATAGTGTCCAGGTAATGAAATTTGTTCTAATACTTCTAGTATGAGGTTGCCTCAACTATGCAAACTAAACAGGATGCATTTAAGATGGTGTATGGATTTGTGGATGACGCATACATCAGATGCATACATTATTTAAAACTAGCGATCCAGTGTAACTTCATCTTTTCATGGTGAAGCACCCGATTTGCTTCTCCCACTTATTCAAAGTTGTGCCAGCTGTTCTTCCTAATCAACCTTCCTCAGCTGTGTTTGTTTCAGCATAACAGTTTACCAGTTCAGTTTTCCTTTGTCCATTTTAAATTTCAAATAGTTAAAGATGTTCTGGTGGCAAAGGGGTTAAGGCACTGATCGAGGGCCTTGTTGCATTTTGCTCCTCATCTCTCTCCCATAACTTACTGTCATGTCTCTACTGCAGTCTCGTCAACAAAGGGAAAAAATAAACCCTAGAATACTACAAAATAAATTAAATTTAATTAGTCACCAGTGTGTAAAATAATCTGTGCCAGTTGAGAAACGTGAGGCTGCTTCCAAAACAGGCTAGTACAAAGTCCAACATTCAGTCCAAGTGGCTGCGCAGCTGCACCGAGAAGATTTTTACTTATAAATTTAAATTATGGAAATACACAACAGAGAAGCAGAAACACACCGTTTAGATTTATAAGTTTCTTTATGCATTTTTATCTGAGACTTGATCAGTTCTTGTATCTGCAGCAGTTGTTACCTGTTCACTGTTAGTTACATGTCCTCTGCAAATAAATGCAACACTATAGTTAACCTAAATAAAAAGTAAATGTGGTTTTCAGATAGTCACAGTAGGTAGTAGTGAAGAGGCCAACATCTTGCCTTATTTCCTGTGTGGGCAATGTGACTGAGCGTAGTTCCAAATCTCAAAATATTTTTGTGGTTACGTATGAATGATCTTTTATACACTAATTCTTAAAGAAGAGGCCTGAACTGAAAATGTATTTGACTAGATTATAGCAGCCCCCATGTTTACCTTCTGCTTTTTATGAGCTTCTGGTTATTTAAGCACATTCAAAGGATCAATAACAAATTTCAGTCTTGCAAACAAGGTCAAGTCATGTGCACAATGTCTGTGCACGTAGTTTTTACATTTGGTCTTTACTTTATCCTCATTTTCACTGAAAACCCTCTCTTTTTTTATTGCTTTGAGGAATTTTGTCAGCTGTGAGCAAATGAGCTGGAACCTTTTAAGCCTAGCTTTGTGCCACAGACAGTTGATTTATAAACCGCTCCCTGTATTGAGTAGCGGCTTAATCAGGCAGGAAGGTGTAGGAGGAGAGACGGAGCTCGCTGCTTGATACACAGTGAGCATTTTGAGCAAAGAGGGAGCAAATGCTGTGAGAGATGTAAATGGTAAAAAGTTGTGGAGGGATTAGAATGGATGAATCCAAACATGCAGATAGGGGATGAAGTGTAGCGTTCACTCAAAAGAGGTGTGACACAGTATTGTTTAGCCCTTATCCCCACAGACACTGAGCTCCCGCTGCCACTAACATCCTTCAGTGGGGTAACCCCAGCTGTACAGTGCCTTGCGAAAGTATTCGGCCCCCTTGAACTTTGTGACCTTTTGCCACATTTCAGGCTTCAAACATAAAGATATAAAACTGTAATTTTTTGTGAAGAATCAACAACAAGTGGGACACAATCATGAAGTGGAACAAAATTTATTGGATATTTCAAACTTTTTTAACAAATAAAAAACTGAAAAATTGGGCGTGCAAAATTATTCAGCCCCCTTAAGTTAATACTTTGTAGCGCCACCTTTTGCTGCGATTACAGCTGTAAGTCGCTTGGGGTATGTCTCTAACAGTTTTGCACATCAAGAGACTGAAATTTTTGCCCATTCCGCCTTGCAAAACAGCTCGAGCTCAGTGAGATTGGATGGAGAGCGTTTGTGAACAGCAGTTTTCAGTTCTTCCCACAGATTCTCGATTGGATTCAGGTCTGGACTTTGACTTGGCCATTCTAACACCTGGATATGTTTAGTTGTGAACCATTCCATTGTAGATTTTGCTTTATGTTTTGGATCATTGTCTTGTTGGAAGACAAATCGCAGTCCCAGTCTCAGGTCTTTTGCAGACTCCATCAGGTTTCCTTCCAGAATGGTCCTGTATTTGGCTCCATCCATCTTCCCATCAATTTTAACCACCTTCCCTGTCCCTGCTGAAGAAAAGCAGGCCCAAACCACGATGCTGCCACCACCATGTTTGACAGTGGGGATGGTGTGTTCAGGGTGATGAGCTGTGTTGCTTTTACGCCAAACATAACATTTTGCATTGTTGCCAAAAAGTTCGATTTTGGTTTCATCTGACCAGAGCACCTTCTTCCACATGTTTGGTGTGTCTCCCAGGTGGCTTGTGGCAAACTTTAAACGACACTTTTTATGGATATCTTTAAGAAATGGCTTTCTTCTTGCCACTCTTCCATAAAGGCCAGATGTGTGCAGTATACGACTGATTGTTGTCCTATGGACAGAGTCTCCCACCTCAGCTGTAGATCGCTGCAGTTCATCCAGAGTGATCATGGGCCTCTTGGCTGCATCTCTGATCAGTCTTCTCCTTGTATGAACTGAAAGTTTAGAGGGACGGCCAGGTCTTGGTAGATTTGCAGTGGTCTGATACTCCTTCCATTTCAATATTATCGCTTGCACAGTGCTCCTTGGGATGTTTAAAGCTTGGGAAATCTTTTTGTATCCAAATCCGGCTTTAAACTTCTCCACAACAGTATCTCGGACCTGCCTGGTGTGTTCCTTGTTCTTCATGATGCTCTCACACACTCTTGTGTGTTACAGCCTGCTCAGTGTTTTATAACTAAGGTGTCACTTTATTTTTAAGCTCATTTAATAAGACAAGTTGAACCAGAACAGACTCATTTGGAGCAGCATAGAAACACATACAGTACACACATGGATCACTGTGTAGAGCTATGGGCAGCTTCTGCACAACTTCTATAATTAATTAAAGTCCCACTCCAGAAACATTTTCATTTTTATATTTGTATATAAAAATACTTTACTATAAACAATATGCAGTCTAACACAGCTTTTCCTCAAAAAAATTTCAGTGGGCCTCTGTAATAGGAATGAACATTGCCCCTCATTGTGCATTCCAGGATCTATGAATGTTGCCGTCATCCCTTATGTGGATTTGAATAATTTTGCACGCCCAATTTTTCAGTTTTTTATTTGTTAAAAAAGTTTGACATATCCAATAAATTTCGTTCCACTTCATGATTGTGTCCCACTTGTTGTTGATTCTTCACAAAAAATTACAGTTTTATATCTTTATGTTTGAAGCCTGAAATGTGGCAAAAGGTCGCAAAGTTCAAGGGGGCCGAATACTTTCGCAAGGCACTGTATTTGCTTCGAAAGCCCCAGGGCTGACTTGGATCAGAGAGGAGGAGAGGGAGATAATGATAAAGGGGATAAAGAGATGGAGGGGGGCGAGCAGGGGTTCAGTGGGATGGAAGCAATCAGAGGAGACGGGGGTGGGGGTTGGGAGAAGAATGGGAAATCACTTTACAGGTGATGAGCAGATGAGAGGACGAGGTTTCGGGGCAGTTAATAGTGGGGGGGTACAGAGGAGGATCCGTGTAAAACCAGGGATAAAAGGGAAGAAAAATGGAGAGGTGGAGTAACAGCCTGGAGCAGAAACGAGGATCAAGGCCAGCTAGAGAGAGTTTGAGAGCAGGAGGGGGGATTTAGTCAGCCAGGCCAGTGATGTACAAACCCCAGGGTCAAACACTGGGCGCTTACACAGGCTACTGCAGTGCCCAATGTCCTATATCTTCAGAGGTGGGTGCAGTGCCTTACTGTCAAAATTCAGTTATGCCAATGAGTATAACATGGTAGTAACCAAAGAAGCTGACACCATGATATGACCCGCGAGATTATTTTTGGAAAAGTGATTTGTTGTTGAACTCTGAAAATAAATCTTTCACCATACTATAATGAAGCCTTCAAGATGAGGAAGAGACAGGTATTTGTATGTCATCAGTTTATATAGAAACCGGATTGTCTGACAATGTAGTTTACTACTAACAGATAACTTGTTATAAAAGAAATTGTGGGAAGTATGAAAAATGTCCATCACAGAAAACCCAAAGAGACTCATGATAGAAAGCATGAAGCTTTAACAATTAAATATTATTACTTGATAGCACCTTTCACAGATTTATCTTTGTGGGAATCCATCTTTGTTTAATTTTTGTCTTGGGGTGTCACTGCAGCCAAGGCCTAACGAACCACCAGATGGAAACAATCAATATGTGAATAGAACATGTGAAAATACAGAGTCTGAGTTTTGATGAATCCTTTCAAGAACAATGTAAATGTCTTTTTTATTTTTTATTATTTTATCTGCAGTTTTACCTGCTGTGCAGTCTGAGTTGGCGGCCCTGAGTAAACCAATGTCCTCTTTCTCTTCTGTCTCTCTCCTCCCTCAGTGGAAGCAGCGGGGGGAGCAGTAGCAGGGAGAACAGCGGCAGCAGTGGAATTGTCATTCCCATCGCTGTGCCTACACCTTCCATCCCCAACTCTGGACCAGGTGATAACTGCACTTCATACAGTGACAGTGGCTTTGAGTTAATAGGTACCACAGGCTAGTCAGTGCTCCCCTGCTGTTAGTGAAGGCAGGGCCGTACTCGACCAGCTGCAATAAAACCTGCTGCTAACCCACTGAGGATTTTCATTAGCTTTGGTTTTCTAGAGTTGTGTTGCCTTTTCCCATGCTGTGAATGCAATTTCAGAGGTGGTTTTTTTTGCCCTGAAAAGCATGCATGTTTATTAGAAAAGCAATACAAACCCTCAAACTCTTATCAGTTGGTCTGTTTGACCTAAGTAAAATAAACAGTTTAAACATTGACAGATGGTGAGAACACAAGGCTGTGCGGTTTACACAGTGCACATACTTGTGTGAGACTTTTGTTCACACATTACATAGACGATATGTAACACTACTACTATGTACAACTATGTGCATCTCTGTATAACTGCATAGATGAAACAAAGTATAAAATTGTGCGTTTTTAGAGGTTTGGATCAACAAACATTGGGGAAAAAAGTAAAATTTTTTAAATATACAGTACATGTCGGTAATAAGCGTTGACAAGGTGTAAATCTAACATACTATTTGCAAATAATGAGGCAATGCTATACAAACCCTGTGTTTACCAGACAGGGATTATGCAGGCCCATTGTGTTCTAAGCACAGTTGATCCTGTATCCTATTGTGTAAATAGGCCAAGCTGTGTTAGGGCTGTTGCTTTACAGTGGAACAGCAAGGCTCATGTAAAACTATGCACAAGCTTAACGGTGTATGGCATTACACCACACACATGCCTGAGTTAGTACTGTGTTTAACTTCTGCAAATGATTTGAGCTGAGGAAGAAGTGTTTGAAGTTTATGTAGCAGCTGTTTTACCTCAGCACCAGGACGAATCACAATCCTCACTGCAAGGTGGTCACCATGGAAACACCCAGTCCATACCCACAAATGAGTGTGTCCAAATGTATGTGGAGCAGTGCAGTGCCTTGACAGACACGCTCCGGCCCCAGAGGGTTCTTGAGTAAAGTGATGTGATGTTATGTAACAGAAGTGCATGAGGCAGCAAGGACGGACTCTGCACCAGACTTATGTAAATACTCTTTGCAGTCCCACCCATGTTCACTCCCCTAGGAGTCCCTCCACCTCCCCCACCACCTCCACCATTTACTCCTGGCATGGCTGCCTTTGCTCCACCACCACCACCACTGTTACCCATAGGTGAGACTCCTCGGTTGCCACGGCCGCTCCCGTCACCTCTCCTGCCCAGAGTGTGGAAATACACACTTCTGTTAAGACCTTATAGTGATGAAGGGGCACAAACAAGGGGGCTGTGGGTGTTGTTGGGTGTCTGTCTGTACACACTGGAAGCAAAGAGGTTATTCTTGTCAAATCATGGCACTGCTCAGTTCTAACCACGTCAGTTGAGCTGCATTCAGTGTTTTGCATTAATGTACCTAAAATGGATGAGTAGACGAGTTGAGCTGCATTCAGTGTTTTGCATTTATGTACCTAAAATGGATGAGTAGACAACTTGCTAATTAGGTATTGGAAAAACTAATCAATTTCACTCCCAAATTTTCTCTTGATAAAAGCATTGATCATTAAAAGAAATACCATTGTTAAGAAAATGAGGTAGAATGGTAATCTGACTGGCTGCTGACAACTGACAGCTGTGGCCAGCTTTCCTCAGCCAATAAACTTATTGACCTCAGCCAAGATTTCCTGGCTGTCCTGCTCTGTAGCTGCTTGCAGTGTGAACAGACTGTTCATGCGCTTCTGTTTGGATACACAGCAGGTTACGTACTACGTGGTCCTTATACAGAAGGCACTCATTTTGTTTTTGTAATCCTCGGTGTGGTGGTGGGACTCGACTTTCTAACTCTTCGCTGGTTTGTTACTAGCTGTTAAAGAAGTCTCATTTCACCCAGCATGGCTAAAGTTCATTACTGCCCACATAGTCTCTATAATTGTTCATGTACATTTGACATTGAGCTGTTTCTCAGGAAACATCCAACACTAGTGGCAATTTGCACTGAGATAATAGCTGATCATTTTTACAGCCGGAAAAATAATCACTTGTAAGACCCTTCAAGTGACAAACTGCACTGGCAGAACTTCTACGCAAAGATCAAAAATTGATTTACTCTAAGGACGCTGAGACTTCTTTGGCACAGGTACAGTATGTGACTGTTTAATTCTAATAGCATTGGCTTTTGCACAGAAATGTGATTGTGGTTAAAGCAGCATCAGACACAGTAAATTAGTACTTTGTATGCACCAGAGAAGAACCAAGGTTTCCAAGGTTCCTCTTAGCAAGGAAGCATCTGTTAGTCCACAGGCTAAAACTAGTCCACGCATTTGAAACTAGTAATTGTGCACAGCTACACTCATAGCCGATGATATGATTTCTGGGTAATGAAGTTCTGAAACATTCAAACAGCATTTGGTGTGCTCTTGAGCATTCGGTACCACCTGATGCAGCTCTAACTTCCATGTTGTCCATGATTTAAGATCGGCGCTGTGCAGGACTGAAAAGCATCCAGTTGCTCACGTGTGACTACTGTAATCCTCGAACTCTTCAATGAGATCACTTGAAACATGCACGTTTTATCCTCAGACCATCAGTGTACTCTCTTAGCTATAATTGCTTCTGCTGGTGACAATATGCAGTAATTTGCACTTGTGTTCCTCTCATCCTTTACTTCCTCCAGTTCCACCCATTCCTATCTGAGAGCATGGCCTCTCCTGAGAGACACTGTGTGATCTAGATATGTGGACACGAAATACCCCAGCAGACCAGCCTTTAACCCCTTCTCTCCCCCTCGGTTTTTGTTTTTCACATGCTGTATCTATAATCTTTAAATATTTGAGCATATTTAATGTTGTCACAGTATTACTGTCATTTGAAGAGATGATTGTGGTTATTAGTAGAGAGCCAGTGTAATGATGTGTGCTCAGTCGTGACCTCCCCCTGCAGTCACTCAAGTAGATGTTTATAAACCTGCCCATGGAAAGA